ACGATTATAATTTAAATTTTAAGAACAAAAATACCCATTAATACTTAAATACGCATCAATTCCTTTTTTATTTCAAAGTGATCCTTAAAAGTAGAAAATTTTTAGATAATTATTTTATTAATATTTTTATTAATTAATTTATTGAGCATAATCAGGTATTTGGTATTCAAAGACCTTATATATGACTTTTAGAATTAATTTGAATTACTAGAACATCTTTACTAACAAAAAACGCATAAAAGGTAGACAGGAATAGCAAACTTATACAGTATTTTATAGATCACATTATAAACAGCTATTTTTTTTAAGCCGGCCGCGGCCTCTTATTTGCAAGTCTAAATCAAGATCTAATCTTTCCATCATAAAATTAATAAACATTTCACATATGCATAGAAGCATCATATAGTTACATTACATTATGAAATTAATTAAATCAACATGATGAAACAATTTCTGAATTACTTAAAAAGAACAAGAAATTTAATAAAATTAACATGAAACTTGAAATAAATACCTAATTCATAAAAATATGAGATGTTTTAATAGAATTCATGATTGCAGCCATATAAAATTCGATGAAATATTTTCATAGCATCTTCTACAACTAGGTAAAAGGAAATTATTTATAAAATATGCTGAAACCTTTAACTTGGGAGCGCTTCAAAGTTGTTCTTTTCCAGATCATGAAAACCATTCATAATGCAAACATTTCCAGGGTTTAATTCACTTTAGCTATGAACAGATACGACTAAAGGTAACCTATATCTTTTGCTGCTGACATGTAAACAAAACAATGTCTACTATAGATTATTTTATAGTTCATTCAAAAGTCGGTAATCTATTTTTCCCAAAAATCATGAGCTTCGTTCCATCTTATAATAACAATAATAATAATAGTAATAAATATTTCAAATTTCTTTTTGTATAAAAATAATGTGCAAATGTATTTAATAGATAAAATATCCTTCATTACTGCTGATTAAGGGTGTAACAGCAACATTGTGACACTTTTAAAAATTATTTCTCTCCCTCCCGTCAAAATAAACCAAAAAGAACTTAATATTTTCCCTCTAAACCGCTCTACGATATGTACATACTTCAGGAATCTTGACAATACTAAAAAAGTTATCATTCAAAAAATGTAGATAGAAGTCAATTTTTATTTCAATAGCTTCTACTATGACTCATCATGATTTTTCATCAACATGAATCATGATTGTTGGGCCTTTATTAAATAAATTTTACTAAAGAAGCTTAGGAGACATAAAATTGCTTGAGTGAAGGAATAGCTAACCGTTTAATGTAAAAAATAATAACAAGTATATGAAAAATATAAGAATAGAATGTGGAGAAACAAATAGAAGTATGAAAGAATACGAGAAAAAAAATAGATACGCTTCTAATAGAAATAAATTTGGGGTTGTTAAAATTGCAGAAAAATATGTGTAACGACTGAAATTTTTCGCTCTACGTTTGTTAAATCCGTGATCTTTTATCAAATTAAAATTATAGTGTACAAATGTTCTACTTAACAATATAAACTGTAGAAATGTAGTTATTCAAAGTAACGCAAATAAAAACAAGCATTATGCATGACAATAACTTTTAAAAACATTATGTCCACAACCATTTCCAAGAATTAAAATAGGTTAAAAATAGATTATCTTAGGTGGAATACAAACAAAAGTCGCTATTAATAGAAGTACTGGATAATTATCCCGATGATTTCATCTAGGACGAACGAAAAAAGTTGAATGTCACTAAAATTTAAAAAAGTTTAAATCGGCTCTTATGATGGCCTTGAAGCTTCTTTAAATTGAGAGCAGTGTTAAATTTCTTTGTGATATTGCTCTTAGAAATCATGTTTTCTAGGGTGCTTCACGAAAGAAGTAATTTTGATAGAAAACACAGGTTTTTAAATTAATAATTATAAATTCTTTATTGATTCATGAAATATACAGTATAGTTATCTATGGAATAGTATATGGGGTAAATAGCTTCCACGGCTTTTCTGGCACATACGCACTCTTTTCTCGAAATTTTCTATGACCGTTTTGCATAAATGCGGTTGAATTTCGTTGATGCAGCGCTCAATTTTCTCCTTAAAAGAGTGGGTGGTCGTGGGTTTGTTGGCATAAACCTTGAGACTTCAAAAAACACCAAAGAAAAAAGTCCAACGGCGTTAAATCGTATGATCTAGGCGGACAATTCTGATCACCAACACGGGAAATTACACGATCATGTAGTAATTGAATTTTTTCTCGGGTTCAATATCTTGCAATTTAGGCACAAAAAACTGAATTATCATGTCGGGATAGTGAGCACCATTAACTGTTATTGCCTGACCAACCACATTTTCTAAAAATGATCCTATGATGGTTCCAGCCTAAAATCCGCACCAAACAGTGACACGTTATGGATGCATTTGTTTCTCAACGACAACTTGTGGATCTTCTGAACCCCCAAATATGACAATTTTGTCGATTAACGAAGCCATCAAGATCAAAAATTGCTGAACATGATTTTGTTCGAAAAATCAGCATCCACTTGTTCCATAATCAATCATTCAACTTCAGTTTTTCAGTCAATTGAAGTAAGCATGAAAATGTAAATCCTTCGTGAAGTTACGCCGAGAGTTTCCCGGAATGTTCAATTCTGAATTGATGTTTCTGGACTCTCGGCAACACTCTCTCAAACTGTTTCTATGTTTTATGTTGAACGACTTGTTGAAGGACGGCCAGAATGTTTAAGATCACTAATTGATCCAGTCTCCCTGAATTTTATTAATCTCTTCACAGTTGATGAAGTTAAATCACTGCTTCTACCATATTCTGTACGAAAATTGCGAACTGTTCCTGCCGAACCTTCATTATTTGTAAAATATTGCCTTATTTCGTGTAGTTCTCCAATTTCAATAACCCTGAACTGTCAGCTGTTTTTTTTTCTTCGTTGTTAACCGCACAAATGGCGGAAAATTCAAATCTTGTGTAAATTTAGAGACACCGGATATTAGTAGGGAATTTGTTTTAGTTTAAAATGTACCAATTAGATTTTAGTAAGCACGAGGTGTTGACATGATGATTTATCTATTTCCCTCATCTTCATTCCCCTCATCCTCGTTCTTTTCATGTACCTGAGATAATTATTGAATTAAGCCTTAATGTTTTTTTTGCTGATTATATGCAGCACGTAATTTTCGGCGAATTTTCTAATTTAGGTCGTTATCTGATTTAGTACTATACGAGACTATACTTTCATATTCCTATCAAATTAATGCCAGGATACTTGGGAACATAATTACACTTAATTTGTCTGCAGATATTTGCAGATAAGGCCGTAAATGACCTATTTATGTGGCGCGTACAATTGGATTTACTTCAGTTATTCACCCGCTTTTGTGCCGGGCAGTATTTAGTGTGCTCCAATGATATTTCCGTTCTATTTTTGTTTGTTCTGTATTGTTATTTGTTATTTGCACTGTTTTTCTTTGTTTATATTACAATGGCTGATGAACCAATAACACGCCTGAAATTACATCAAATAATGATGGAATTTTCACGCGAATCAGTCAAAGTGCGAAAAAAAACGTGTTTCTAAATGAGAATTTCCACATATATTTTGATGAAAATGCAACGAAAACTCTTATCACATATACAGGAAAAGCATTTTTGCGCCTTATTTTGCACGATGGAGAAAAGTAAATCGAAAAAATGAACAGTTTTTAAGTAAATTCGAAAATTGGCTGAATGAAGAAATAAATTTCCCGAAGATTGTTGTTCCCTGCCTGCAGGATGATCGTAAAGCGTCTACATCAGAAAAGGGTGGTCGTCCCTCTAAGGATTTCGAAGATTGTTCTGTCGTTATTACACGTAGAAAAACAGGAGATTCGTGAACAAACATCTACAGAAAAATTGTTATTTGCTACCTCCATGAAACTAAGAGAAAGTGGAAATGTAGATGCAGCCAAATTGCTCACTGAAGCAAGCGTATATTGATGAGGAAATGTTACCTTTGGTAATTATGTCAGACGCAGAGGAGAAAGATAAAGACGACGAATTCGTAGATGAACAGGAAAGTAACTTAGACGAAGAGTTTGAAGAAGATGAAGAATACGAAACTAATGAAAGTGAACAAATCCAGGAAAAACAGGAGGAACAGGACGAGGAAGAAGATGAAAATTGAAAAATATTTTATACTGTGATAAGGAATATAATGTAATTATGATAGATGGTTAAAATGTAAATAAAATATAGTTAAGTATAAAAATTAGGGTCTCGAGTTTTTGTCGAAAGTTTTTACTCACTGCAATGTGTTTTTATAGTTATTATGAGAGCTATAATATTGTTTAGATCAAAATAGAATACATTACATTCCATTTCAACAGTCGTTTCGATTTTATGAATTTCAACCCCCTAAAAGGGGTTGGAATCTAGAATATAGTGTAATATTACCTCCAATGGATTTTAGGGTATAAAATACCCTGGAATCTAAAATTTCGCTGCAATAGGTCGATTACTCTAAGAGCTATAGGTTTAGATCGAGAATTTACAGTTTTTGACCACTGTGCGTAGGGTTAGCTAGTCTAGTGGTATGACGTCACAAATGCTCTGAGAACGGTTGGACCGTTTAAGATATAGGTTTGTTTTTGCAGCAGTGTCACACTGTTTTTAAATTCATCAGATATAATCGGCCACTTAAGTCGGTACACACTTTCAGCGAGTCTAAGGTCACAAATCAAATGGTCGAATATCTCCGATAGTTTCAAATCAGTCCTCAACTGCTGCAGAAACAGTTCTTATGTCAAGAATTAGAATTTGCGCTGTAACGAGCACCCTTTACCAACGCGCACAAAATGAACATTTAAAATTCTCGTTCTAAAAAATACTGTTGCCAAAATTTTCAACTTATTTTTTTAAACTGACACCCTTCTGTAGGTAAATTATCATACACCCTGTATATTATGGAAGAATTACACTGACCAAAGGGAAAAGCTGACTTACCTTGGCCAGTCGCATGGCTGTGATCCAGCAGGTACGCACCCGCTCGGAATCGCAAGCCAAACAACACAGCTGGTCGGAAGTTTCGTCGTCCGTGTTGTCGCCGGAAGGTCTCAGGCAGATACCCCACTCGGTGGGCGCACGGAACTGGTTCTTGGCGTTCAGTGTCGTGTACACGTGGTAGTTGCTCAATTTGGCGAACACGCGGACGTCGTTGCCGAGTTCCTTATCCTCCGAGATCTGAAACCAATAGAAACAATGGTCAGCATCCACTTAGCCGCTAGCCGTTAAATGAATGTGTCTTACATTACAGGACTGGGTTTGCTGTGATGACAGGTTCCAACTAATCCAGAAGTAATAATATTAATGTAAAAATACAATTTTTTAGAATATACATACTTCCACCAGGAAGTGCACAATTTTAAGAGAACGTTCTACAGGTAAAAATAAGCAAAAAAGTTTATGTAAACCTAGGTCCGAAAAAATTCTTATGAAAAACTGTAATTTTTGTTGCAAAATATGTAGTTTACTCCGAAAACCATGAATATACAAAATTTTGTTTGTACTTATAATATTAAAAAAAAACTTGTAATGTTTCTTCTCTTCCATATGAAATACTTGTATACCCAGAATTGAAATCAAAGTGATTCACCATAGAATTGAAGAACTTGTATTCAATTCCCTGACGTAACTCTTGAACAAATTCAAAATTATTTTCTGCAATCTATTACATTCACAACTCTTTCAACTCGTATTCCGTCGGTTGAATCAAATATTTTAGATGTAACCTTAACCCTTTCAGTATAAAAGTAACCAGTTTTCAATATTGCATTCATGGTATGTTTACCTATTTAGTTCATTATGTTACTTGTATCACATCTGATACAACTTCGCTTGTTAGAACTGAAGAATTCAAAGATTTCTCGATTTATAAGTTGTTGGTTCATATCTCAAGAAAATTGCTATTTAGGATTGTGTTTCCTACGGTAATGTCATGTCCAGGTGCACTTAGTTTAATTACGTTTAATTTATGTGTAACTTTTTACTTACTTTTGAACAAATTGGTGAAAAACGAACAAGTTAACATCTATCTGTAACAAATTCATATAGTGTCGTGAATTACGGAATACGACTATTCTGATTAGCTGAAGAATAATCGCAATTCACAACTGTATGAAACCTGTTTAAATTGGGATTCACATAGTTACGAATTTATAAACTTTTTGCTTATTTTAAACTGCGAATGGTTTCCTTAAATTTTGTGAACTTCCTCCTGTGACACCTTGTACACAGTGTGTAACTTTAAGTACGGTCAGTTTTTTAGGAGCACGTGTTCCACTGAATACGAATTTGAAATTCTTTTTTTTTTATCAAAATTTTTTATTCCGAAATTCCAGGACGAATCCCAATTCTAAAAACAGACTCATTTGTTAAATGAGATAGGGCTGACATTTCTGTTTGGGTCGATCGAGGCATTGAAAAAATTTGGCATTTCTAGAAAAATTTTTCTTATTTATATTCTTGAGCAGTGGCGGCCCTTCCATACTAGGGAAGGGGGGAAAATTTAAGTACAAAGTATTGAAAAATACATCAAATATGGAAATTAAATATAGGGAAAATTATTCTTTGTGGATAAAGTCCATTCTTCTGTTTTTGTACGAAATAAACTTTTCAATTACTTTATATTAAAGTTTTGCATTTCTCGCACCACTAATTTTTCAATAGTTAGTATTGTAAATGTTTCTAATCTATCTTTACAATCTAATTTAAACTTTTACAATATTTTAAAAAACACATAAGAAACAATACGTAGGTAATAAAATTTTTTATCACACGTAAACAAATTATGTTTAATAAGAAAAAAGGCAGTGAACAGCTCTCATTTGGTTACGGGCGGTTACGGGTGGTCTAAACTGCATAGTGAACATGGGCTACTTCCATTCCGTCTTTCACTGCTGCGCGACGATAACCATGACCACCGCTGTAAACACTTTACAGATTGAAAGACGAACTACGAGAGTTTTTCTAATGAATTTTGCAAGTCAAGTTAAATTCATTGCACATTACAAATATAAGAATTCCTTTTTAATGTGTTTTATAACTCTAATCTATTTAATTATCTAGATAACATTGTAAATTAGCACCTTAGAGCTCCCAGTCGCCACTGTTCTTGAGTAAAATTACATTATCGGTATAAACAAATAAGTCACAAAGCAAAGCACGGAACCAGTAAAATTTCTAGGTATTAAACTCGACGAACATATGGATTGGAAGCCACATTGTAAAAATTTAGTCAGTTTATTAAACTCTACAAATTTTCTTTTTAAAAACATTAAAGACGTCCTAACTAAACATCAGTTAACGAACGTATATTATTGCTCAAATAGAATCTCGAATACGATATGGAATTTGTTTATGGGGTGACTCCACCTTATCGCAGGCTGTTTTTGCTTCACAAAATCGTGTGATTAGAACAATTGCCGGTGTTCCAAGTACACGATCTTGCAGAACCCTTTTTGTTGATTTTGGTCTCATGACTGTTGCCTCATTATATATTTTAGAAATGTGTATTTATGTTTATAAAAATAAAACAAAGTTTAAAACAAATTGTGATATTCATCACTTAAATACGAGACAAAAGGATCGATTCCATCTGCCCTATACAAAATATGCTGCTATATCGAAATCACCTGATCATATTGGCTTAAGGATTTTTAATAACTTGCCCGGTAACATTAAGCGTTGTAATAAATTGAATATCTTTAAATATACACTAAAAAATTTTTTAATAAAGAAATGTTTTTATTCTCTTTCCAAATTTTATCAATTGTAGTACAATTTACTTTGTTATGTTAGCATTTTATATGTGTGTGTATATGTATATAAGTGTGTATATTGTATATTGTATACTGTGTGTGTATATCTATATTTGTATTTTTGTGGGCCACTGTTGTCCATCACATTGGCCATTGCTATACATTCATGTAATGTCATATAAGCAAAATAAACTAAATAAATAAATAAATAAATAAATAAATAAATAAATTATCAGACGCCCACAGATAAAAACAAATTTCACAGAGCCGACTTCATTTTTCGCATAGTTTAAGGATGGGGAAACCAACAAAATCAAATCAACTAAATTTGTATAGTTCAACATATTACTGTTAAAAATCTAAACATACTCGTTTATACTGTAATGGCAAGTGCACGCACGCTATTGACATAACACTTATACTATACATTAGTATTAAATATATACTATATATTTAATACTAAAATTATACTTCTAATAATAGCCTCAAATTACGTTCAGGAAAAATATGTACGTACTCCTCGTATGTAGAGTAGTAAATACCTACATTTGTAACAGTCCCTCTGATGTAAAAGAACATGTTTTTTGTGCCAACAATTGCCCTTCAGTGCGTCTGCAAGATATTAATTTAGTATTTACTCTATAAAAAATTGGTACTCTGAGATAATAATGTAGGTACTTTTTTATTTCTCTGTTTCTATACTCTTTCTAAATAAATAATATAAAAATAATATTTACAATACTTAATTTTGTGCAGATTATCTCACACCTTAAAAAACCTGTCTTAAAATACTCGAAATATAAGTACAGGAGCGCAGCTAAAGGGGTAGGGGTGTGCACAGCCCACCCCAGAAAAAAAGATACAATAATATTATCTTTCTCATATCGGTTAGTCGCTGACTGTGCCTTTTTTATAGAACCAAACGAGAGAGTGCTTTCCAGATATTATATCGGTAAGTCATAAAATGCGGTTTTTTTTAAATTTTTTCTTTTTTAGAGGCCTCCATAGATGGTGCAGCCCTGGGCCCACACCAAGCAAAATACGCCCATGTATGTCTTTTCAGCGTGTCTTTTAGATTTTATTGACAAAATCGAGACACGTTATAATGAAACTAAAATAATGGCAAATAACATTTTTAAATACCATATTTCATCATATGTAAGATAATTATACTTATTTTTACCAATATTTTACGTCGATAAATTTTAATTTTTCAATCAAGTGTCTCAAATTTACCTCAATTTGAGTATATTTAACATACTGGTTGACAATATTTTAAACTTACTTTTGAATAAAATAATTTTGATAATAATAATCTTTGATCTACATTTTTTAGAATTAAAAGAAGTAAGAACCTATTTCTTTTTCTTCAATTGACGAAATTAAAAACATTTAGTCCAAAAAATTAACAACGGAGTTGACGTCTGTTTAGGTTTATTTGTATACTTGAAGTGCACCCGTATATTTCAGTATTTTCCGTATACAGGGTTAAGCAAAGTGATACAGGCGTATCTGGGCATGCAACCTGAGGGGTCTATCGGACCCTTTGCAGCTTAAAAACAAAAGCACTCTTTGTTTCTCAAGTAACACTAAAACAATTCAAACTGACATTCAACTGCATTAATGCGCCTATATTTTAATGTGCCTATATTTTTCTTATGAGACAAGGAAGGTTACAACGTTTTAAACACATAAAATAAAAAATCAATATTGAATAATTTCGTGTTAGTCACTTCTTCAAACTCTTAAGGAGTATATCGGGGTCCGAGGGAAGTGAGGATCGCAGGGGGGTCCTATGCTTTTCTTATGGGACTAAAACCCGCTACCAACTTGAAAAAATTAAATTCTATTGAAATTATTTGCGATAAATATTTATCTATATAGCAAAGAAATCTACTCAATATGCACATTACATAAATATTGAAAATTAACAACATAAAAATATCATATTTAAGTAGTTTTAAATTATATTTAATGATCGCATAAACACTATGTAGATGTGGCAACAGCGCTAATAATCGAGTGCATTTGTACACAGTACACACTGCGAACCTACGTACCTCGGACATCGGAGATATTGCGCGTCAAATTCGAGTAAAGATGCGTACGCATTCAAAAATGTATTGTGTGTAAACTATATAAAATATAATTATTATATATGTATAGCAAATATATCCTATTATCCTCGCGAAGATTTGTATCCTTTATTTAAAATCCATAAATCAAGTGAACTGGTAAAACAACGAGAAAATAATTATGTTAATTTAGTTCTAAAGAAGTGAAATGACACTCGCGCCCATCTCTCGTCCAAGTCAAAGAAAATGTTGGATGCAATTTTGAAGGTTCTGTGGTAGAAATTACATTATTACTCACTGTTCGTGTTTTTCATCTCTATTTTAGTAATGTTACTAAAGTTTTGCAACT